CCCCCCGAGGCACCGTTTCTTATCTCTCCTGGCAATGTCTTAGGTGGACCTTTCCAAAGACATCCAGCACTGGGAGTCCCTGAAGCCTGAGGAGAAGTACTTCATTTCTCACGTCCTCGCCTTCTTTGCTGCCAGTGATGGCATTGTCAATGAGAACTTGGTGAGTGTACAGAAACAGTCCTGACAGGAATACCATTTTGGGAGGATAACCAGATAATTCCATGTTCAGCACTTGCTGCTGTGGGTGATCCAGGTCGTTTGCTGGATCATGGGAGTGTTACAGCATTACTACGCATACTGCTGTCCTATGTTAATTAGCAAATTGGTGTTGGTTTTGTAATCCACGAGTTTGTCCACTCCCCATGGGGCCCTGAGTGTTGCCTTACAGTAACACTTGCCTGGCTCAGAGCCCTTGTTCTGCTTCCACCCTCTCAGTACTCTTCTCCCTAGTAAGGGATAAGTAAAACAAAGAAATTTTTCCATTTCTCTTGGGACCAAAGAATGCCTCATGACTTGGAGCTGTGAGGGGTTACTGCTCTGCATATTACTGTTAATGATCCACATGTCTGGAATTAATCTGAAGGTTTTGTGAGCTAACCAAGAACTGGTCTACACGGCATCAGTGCCTCAAACCTGCAGCTTATAAATGCTTATGCAAACACTCATTTATTTCCTCTAGGTGGAGCGGTTCAGTCAAGAAGTACAAGTTACAGAAGCTCGTTGTTTCTATGGCTTCCAGATTGCCATGGAAAATATACATTCAGAAATGTACAGTCTTCTTATTGACACCTACATTAAGGATTCTAGAGAGAGGTTTGTATTGCTTGATGATGAAAAGTTCAAAACTTGCTAAATATTCAGATTTAAATGCTGCATATCAGTCGTTCTCTGACTTTCAGGCTAATTTTAGGGTGTAAACTAAACTTATATAAAATACCACTGCTGCTTAAGAGCAGTTTTACTTCAGAATATCTTTTTGGTCTCAAGTGCAAGAACATGCTCAGGTTAAGAGCGAAACTGAAACCACTCAATACTGAAATGTAGGAATGAAACTACGTAAAAGGTGGAGCATTCAAAGAAGGGGAGTATGTTAAACTACAGTAAGTGCTCATGTGGAGGACCCCTGCACCTAGTAGGTAGCTATGTAGGAAAGTTTCTCTGAGAATGCTATCCCTTCTATTAAAATATTATTTCTAAACCTCAGTGCATTTATTGAACAGCTAAGCACTTAAACATTGCATGTGCTGCTCTTACCACACTATTTTGCTTGGGGGAAGAAAGGCATGTTGCATTTGCTGAAGAGTGGCCTTTGGTCTTGATTAAAAGTAAAATGATACTGTAAAATTTTCATAATGGGATTACTCAATTGAAAAATTGTGTCTTAAAACTAACAGTTTGGAGCAGTCCAGGCTGAGTTGTTCTGGTGTTGCCAAATCAACACCCTGTCGAGTGAAATGTCACGTGGTATTGCAGTGCTATTTGCAGTTTAGATATATTGCTACTACTTGGAAATTTGGCCATGTCATTTCTACTCTTGAGATGCTAAATTCCAGCAAGAATTCCTTGCATGAGAGGCCTGGTGCCTTGGCACTGGAAAGTGGAGCCTGGTTAATCTGTAGTTTTTGAAAGCTTCATTCAAGTGCAACACTTTGTGAAACAGTTCTCCCCTTGATATGGTCACGGGAATTCATGTGAACTGGTGTTGATGTGATGGGTAGGTGAAGAAAAGGTAGTTAATTGGATCAAATAAAGCTAGATTTGTGCCAAGTAAGATGGGGAAGGAGAAGGATGAAGGTGCAGAGAATGTTTGAGTGGTCAGATTGTTCATGGCAGTGAATGCTGATTCTGCTGGTTGTGCCTATGTCCATCCTAATGAGTTTTATCTTTCTCAGGGAATTTCTTTTTAATGCTATTGAAACATTGCCATGTGTTAAAAAGAAGGCTGACTGGGCCATGTGCTGGATTGGGGACAAGAAAGCAACGTACGGTGAGTTCATCTATTGGAAGCAAAGTGAAATTCCTTCCCTAAAGATGGAGGAACCACCGTTTCTCCAGACTTCACAATTCATAGGGATGGATTATTGTTGTCACAGGGAGAGTCCATGCTCTTCAGTATAAGATAGTGATAAAATTCTGGAAATGAAGAAACTACTTCATCTTCAAATGAGCTACTGACAGGAATTTTTGTAAAATTGCTGGCATCATGATTAATAAGGTCATGTGGCAATCATCGTATGCCTGACTATATGATCAAATTGTAAATTGCTGTCACATCTAGAGCTGCACTGGCCATCTGTAGCCAGCAGACGTGTCTGGTTGGAGGCTGTAGCTCCTTAGCCTTGCTAATTGCTGCTGTCTTACTTGAAAGGTGAGATGAGATGGTACAGATCATTATTTCACTAGCATTAAAGCATTCTTCATGGCCGAGGTTCCTTGCTTAATCAAAGATGAGCAGACACTGGCTTAAATCAGCTGCCAAAATGACTGCTTTTTCAGTGAGCTGTCTGGAAAAGGGTGATATTGATGGTTAACCCAGGGGGAAGGAGCCTTGGCTTCAGCTATTTAGTAGCCACTCTGTTTAGTTCTTACTTCCACTCATATTTGTTTTGTTTAATGACTAGAAATCCTTACTGTAATAGTTTTTAGGACAGGCCATAGCTAACTTAAGCAGAAGCAACTTCATTCACCTTGCAGGATGCAGTTCATTGGTCTATTTGCAACTTCTGGGTATTTATTAATCCTGCTAAGTTTTCTGTGAGTAAATATTATCAATCTTCTCTTAACAGGAGAACGTGTAGTTGCCTTTGCAGCTGTGGAAGGAATCTTCTTTTCTGGCTCGTTTGCATCAATTTTTTGGCTGAAGAAAAGAGGATTAATGCCTGGACTCACTTTTTCTAATGAACTCATCAGTAGAGATGAGGTATGAGTCAAATTCTAGCAGTTTAAGATCGTAATGTGCCACAAGTAGCTCAAAGGAATGATACTATTGGAGTATATTTAGAAACAGGCAGTAAGGCTCACTAAAGTGTGCAAACGTGTCATTGTGAATCTTGCAGCAGGGAATGGATGAACTTGACATTTTACTTCCTTTGAAGTAGTTTAGGTGTTCTTACCAACTCTTGCAGTTGTTGCACCTGACTGTTTGGAGCAGGTGCAGCTCATATTGGCTGAACTTGCTCCTGTGATGCCTTCTGGTGATGCAGAAAGTTGTCTGTAGGCAACACTAAATAATGTGGCAAGGGCAAAGGTGATGCCACTTACTCTGTTCCTGACATAATTTTCTGAAACTTCCTTCCAGGGTTTGCACTGTGATTTTGCCTGCCTCATGTTCAAGCACCTGATACACAAACCATCAGAGGAGAGAGTAAGGGAAATCATTATGAATGCTGTTCTCATAGAGCAGGTAATTGTCTGCCCCTTGTTTAGAAACTTGATTGCAATTAAACAAAGCAGGAAAGCTGTTGGGCATAAAATTAACTTGACTAGCATAGAGTACATGCCAGTGCTGTATGTGAAATGCTTGTTATCTGCAGGAATTCTTGACGGAGGCACTGCCTGTGAAGCTGATCGGCATGAACTGCACTTTAATGAAACAGTACATAGAGTTTGTGGCAGACCGGCTGATGTTGGAACTGGGATTTAACAAGGTAATGCTCTAATCCATAATACACAGAACATTTCATGGGGAAAAGGTAATATTAAGTTTAATTTCCTTCAGAAATGCAAATTGGCTGCAGCAATATTAGTTTAACTTGTGAAATCATTGAACAGTCCCGCTGCTAGGTCCTATGTGGAGACCCACAGAAGGAAGAGCAAAAGGGTGCTATGGAAAAAGAGTGTTATGAGTAGCTGTGCTTCTGTCAGCTGCAGCTAAAACACAGAAACAAATATGGTAGAGAAGGCTTGGGGCTGAGATTTTTGTTCACTACATAGTGAGCTTGTTGATGCTGCCATTAGACTCCTTCCAGCTGGTCTGTAATGCTCAAGATGTGAGCATCAGCAGTGACTATAGAATTACTTGTGTGTTTCAGATATACAAAGCAGAGAATCCTTTTGACTTCATGGAGAACATATCTTTGGAAGGCAAGACCAATTTCTTTGAGAAGCGAGTAGGTGAATATCAGAGGATGGGAGTCATGTCAAAGCCCACAGACAACTCTTTCACCCTGGATGCAGAATTTTAGATGAACTGAGACCATATGTGTTAATGTACATAACACCCTGTTTACAGGGAATCATTCAATATATTGAGTCACAGTGTGACTTGATTTCATTACTAAAATCCCATTCTTGTAAAGTATGGTGATATTGGTATATTTTAGGAGGCTGGTGTAGCTCCAACAGTAAAATCCCTTTTAGACTTTGCCAATGGTGCTGATGCGTAGAATGTTTAGATGTATCTTACAGTACATGCTATTCCATTTCATGAAAGATACAGGCACTTCATTCTGCAAGATGGGAGGTTGTGGGCACTGACCCCTGGCTTCTGCTGTTCTCATCATAAACAAAGGAACTGTTGTAAATTTGTCAAATAGTCTGTAGAAAATTCTGGAGGCAACTACATGATCTCACTGCTTTCTTAGCAGGTTTTAAGTTTACCTTTTTTTTACTATTGTTTTAATAGTTTGTACATAACCTTGGCACTTTAATGTGTAAAATAAACAACTGTCTTGTAATACTCAACAATAGTAAAATGCAAGTAAAAATCTTTTTTCATGACTTGTGCTTCTTTCCTTCTTTTCTTGGTGCTGTAAATCAAACTATTTATCTTGAAATATATTGAAGAACAGGAAAACACTTGGTCTGGAAGGTAAAGAACTAAGTTGGATATTCTGGGTACTGAAAAATTAGATGCAGCTGGCTTCTGGACTTGATTTCTTCTTTAATATCTGGGAACAGTATTTCATGTAATAAAGAGGTGGTTGGATTCAGTGTTGTACTGGCTTCAGTGCTTCAATGGGCAAAGCTGTGTGCTGATTTCCTTTGAATCGCAGACTTTGTGAGGAAATGCAAGTTCTGCAGGAAATTGCTGCTAAGTCATGTGGTTGTTAGATGTCAAGTGAAGTTGTGCTTAGCTCTGACTTTCAGATAGACTGCACTTAACAGATGATGTTTCAGGGTAAATTCAGCTAATTCAGGCAGGGGCAGCATTTAAGCTGCATCATTCAATTTTTAATATATAACAGTGAAAACTGCTACAACGTGGTTACTCCCACAGTAAACACAGCAATAAGAGTGAGTATGCTTAATATAACTGGTGTAAGGTCTGTGAAGGAGGTCCCCATGATCTCAGATTAGAGTTCCTGCAAATGATCTGCAGTGAGATTAAATGACAGTGGGATAGACTAAAACTGGCTACTGCCTTGCTGTACAGTAGTTTATCCATGATCTAATCTAACATCCAGGAAGGACTGTTCTGCAAGTTTGCCTTTCTTTACTCAAGCATAGTTGATGTCAATAAAAAGCTTTACAAAACTCAAAGCATTTTCTTCCACAGGAAAGGATGCTGGAGCTTTTCTTGCTGCTCAAGTGCTCCCTCTTTTAAAGCACAGTAGTTGTGATGCTTCTTGGAGAGGTGCTGCCTTGGTATAAAATGAACTGCCTTGCTGGTCTTTGCTTCTTTCCTTTTGATTGCACTGAGGGTGATGGTGTGTGACTGTTCTTCCCCCAAGTCTGTGAAGCTAGCAGGATGCACATGCTTCCAAGGCTATCCTAGGGAGAAAAACCCCCCATAAATAATTAAAAAATCCCAAACCCTAAAGTCTGGAATTCAAAGTAGAAGATACAGGATTGTTAACAGACAAGGGCATTCTCTAATAATATCCTTGCAGCAGCAATGTTGGTAACAGGTCAGTGATTGCAGTGGTCTGAGAATAATGTATTAGGAACTGGAATAGGGATGTGCTAAATTGGACAGCCAGTCACATTATTTTGAAGCATTGAAACTTAATGCTTGTTTCCGCTTAAATATCAACATTTTGTTCTGAGCAAATTGTGCTTTGTGCTTTTTCTTGGCTTGCCTTAGTGAAAGCTTTGATCAAATTAGGTGATACAAAGCATCAGAACTCAGGGTGTTAAGGGGATGTTGCCTAGAGCACAAATGAGGCAGTAATAAAATACTGAATTTAGTCTGGACACAACTGATTTAGCAGCATTCAATTTATTTTCAAATCTGATAATTTATATACTTTGGTGATGTAGAAAAAGAGTAAGACTTCTGACCTATGAGTAGGGTCTATCTATGTTATAGCAATCTCTTCCCGTTTGATTCTTAGTATATGCCAAGGATCAATACATAGAAACAATTAGGGCAGAAAGCTTTAATCTTCTAATCCTGGGAGGTAGGAACTGGAACTGTATTTTCAACATAATATAGGAGGAATGCTCGGAATGGATGTGTGATGGCCAAGTAATAGTTTATAATGGGAGGTAGGAGGAATGTCCCTTTTAGCCAAGCATTGCTCTTATGGGGTAATAGATATTGCAGTTGTGGACACATTAGAGACAGATTAGACAGGAAATAGAAGTTATTCAACAAGAGAACTAGACTTGCTGTGGCTGCTGTTAATCTTATCCTCGTGCTGCTGGTGTCTAAATGCCTACTTAGTTTTGGTACATGTACTCACTATAATGCAAGTCAGTTTTTCATGTACAGTCTGGAGAAAAGCTATGCATCTGGTCCCACCTATTTTAGTTCTCCATTCCCACAAGGATTTAAATGTCTTGCTGTTGCTTGAACAGATTGTGTCCAAGCCTTGATGAAATATGTGTTTACTGAAAATGGATTACTTTCCAATTTGACTGAGATACCAGTTGTTTTGACACTTGATCCTCTTAAGCATTAAGGAGATAACTCTTTTATTTCTTTCCAAAAAATAAATTAATACTCCCCAAAATAAGTTTCAATAAAGATTTAACTGACCCTTTGGAATATGTTTTGGAATGGAGTTTGGAGAACCTGGAGAGATTTGAAGTGATGAAAGTGCAGATGTTTTTATCCATGTGTGAATTGGAACACCTGCCTGGTAGGGCTCTGCCACAGTAATTGCCATAAGTGGGAAATGATTAGGCTGGTAGAGGAAAAAATACTGAGGGGTAAGTAAAACTGGATGTATTTGGTGATGCAGTGCAAGTAAAACTGGATGTATTTGGTGATGCAGTGCTCTGATGTCTGTGGTAAATTTATGCAGAAGTGATCTCTAGCTATCCCCTGTGTTTTTTTATTGCTGTTAAACTGAATGGCTTTTAATAGCAGCAGATAAAATGAGAGAACAGTAATCTCAAGCATAATTTGTCATGCTATTTTTTTTTTAATTGTAATTTGTTAAAAAATTACATGGATCCAGGTAAGAAAGCTTCCATAACATTTTCACTTCGGGTTACATGTCAAACACTGAAAATCCTAGATAATGCAGAGGAGTTAGAGAAGCAACCTAATGTCAGCCTTGTCCTCAGGAAGCAACTGCAACATCAGAGTGTAATGACAAATGGAAAATCCCCAGATTTCTCAAATTTCCTGGGGGTGACTACAGCAGTTTGTGCCCAGAAGAGGTCAGAGAACAGTTGCAGCTGCTCATGCCTGCTGCAGGGCACAGCCAGCCTGTGAATCTGAAGACACTTTAACAGTCTGATGTGATCCCTGAAGGTAACCACTTCCTCTGCACCAGTCAATAATTGGAAACTTTGCCTGGCAGAAGCAGTAAGTGAACAGAGTTGTGCTCATTCCAAGCCTACTTTTCCCAGTCTGCCACAGCTTGTTTTATTTTAAGCTGTCGATTACCTCTTGGAGCTTTGGCCTCTCTTTGTGCATAATGCATTATGAGAAGTAAATGCTTTCATCAAGAAGGATTTGAGAGCTACAGAAAGCTAAGTCTTGTGTCCTGTTTGCTGATGGACAGCTAGTTTTTGGTTAGGAATTCATCACTTGGGACTGTTTCTGAGATCCTATGATCTGCACAGTCTTTTGGTTTCTGTGGTAAAACACTCTTTACAGGAAGAATGGTGAAAGGTTAAGCTAACAGGAAAAAAGTCTGTTATGTGTCAGATACTGGTTTTGCGTCTAAAGTTATGCCCAACTGATCTTTGAAATAATGATAATATTGCTGCTTCCTGAGTCTGCAGTGAAACAAGGGAAAGCTCTATCCCTTAGGGAGTATTGCAGACCCCAGTGATGAAATCTTAGACATCACTGATGAGCAGATAAATGGTGGTGTTTGGTCATCTGCTCTTAGATTCACCTGTGGGACATGGGGTGGGGTGAAGAATACCAGTTTTCATTCTACATCTGGTTGTTACTGGTGCTCTGCTGGTTATAAGCTGAGGAACCCGTGTTCCTGTCATGATCCAGAGGTAGGGCCAAGTGAACAGCAAACCCCAGTGCCTTGACTGGCCACCAGACCTGTTCCTTTGGCTCCTGCCTTTAGGTTTCTCCACACCACATTATGCTTTCAAATCTGAAGAAAAGGGTTTGAAGGTGAGTGCTTCACGCTTAAGAAGAAGGGGTTGTGTTGGAGCCCTTCCTGCTATGGATGCCTATCCATAAATAGGAATTTAAAATGTGTACCTTTTCTTCCCCCTGCTGTTAGTCTTTTTTTAAAATAACTTTCAAATATAAAGAGAGAAATGCCTTAGTGGAATGGTTTTGCAGTTCTTTCGAATAACCAAATTACTCCTGCCTTTTTCCTGGTTTTTGTACAGGGCGTAGTTTGTGCCACAGGTTATGTTGCTTTGTTCATTGGATGAAGATTACAGTGAATTGCTGGAAGATGCCTCAGCCATACAGCACATGGGAGCATTTGCCTGATGCTGACCACTTGTGTTGAGGTTTTCCTCTTGGCCTAAGGGTGAAAACCCTAGCGTTGGATACACACAGGTGCTTCTGAGATGTAGACTGGGGAAAAAAATATCCTGGGAATCCCAGACCAGTTTCTGCTACTAGTCACTGGTAAGTAATTCGTGTTTTCTAAGTATTGTAGGATTTAGCTGAAAGTAGGAAAGGGTTTGCAGTTCTTAGGTGTCCAAATCTTGAGAGTATTTGGCTTCCAAAAAAATATTTGAGCTGTATTTTGGTTCTATTTGGGATTAGGAGGTGCTACTATTTCTGTTATGAAGTGCTACTAATATAATCTGGGATGGTGTGGGCTCCCCCTTGGATCAGGCCTAGCAGAGAGTCGAGTTTAGTTTTTTGCTAGATTTTCATTTGACCAAGAATCTAGCAAATGGATTGTCAGGTAACTAGGACTGTTCATGGCATCCAAACGAATCGTGGGGTAACGAAGCCAGTCTGCTAAATCAGTCATATGAAGACTGAGGTGTTTGGCCCCAGAGGAAGGTGCTTGCAGATGGACTAATATTTAGGGAAATCAGTTCTTGCAGTCTGAATATGTTCTAGGTATATTTCTGGAAAAAGAGTACCTCCAGATCCGTGGCTCCAAAAATGCAGCATGGGCTACAGCACCAGGAGAGGACAGTGCAGTGACTCTGTTGCATTTGTTTCAAATTCCTACTTCACACTCATCTGCATCTTTGACAGATGAGCATTTACACAGCACTTACACAGCATTTTATTTCTTATTTTACTGGTCTTCTCTGACACCTTAAGTCACACTGCCAGGCATTTTTCCTATCTTCTCAGGTAGGGAGCTGCCTACCTTGCTTGTCCTCTCTGTCAGCTGTCAGAATCC